TGGCGGTCCAGGGCGTTTTCGAGTGGCACATCCAGGTTGCTCTTGCCGTCTTGGGGGCCTCCTGGGCCGTTTCGGGCCCTGCTCAGCCCTTGCTGGGCCGTCCTGAGGGTCTCTTGGGCCAGCTTGGGCCAGTCTGGGGGGCCATGTTTGAGCCGTCTTGAGTGTGCAGACGCCAGAGAGCCGAGAACGCGAAAACCATGCCACAGTAGTGGTGGATCTGTGTTTTTTGTCTCTTGAGACCCTCTTGGGGGGATCCTCTTGGGGGGGATCCTCTTGGGGCTTTCTTTAGGCGTTTTCGGTTGGTTGTTGTTGAGGCCTTTCCAGCGTATCGGAGCACTTCTTTCTGGAGCAATCTTTGAAAGCATGCAGTGGAGATCCATGCCAAGAAACACTCTGCTTGCCTCCAGGGTGCCTTGGGTTTCGATGGTTTTGCTGCAGAAGGCGCGACGTTCCCATACCAGAGATCAAGGGACGCCCCTGGGTTCTCAGGGCCAGGTTTTTTCGCGGAAGGCTTCTTGTGGACCGGCCTCCACTGTCCTGGGACCTTGGCGGCCACGGAGGGTGGTCTTGCAGGCTCCGGGGGGCCCAGGGGGTGCGTCGACGAGCTGGGCTCGCTTCCCCCCCCGCCCTCAAACGCGATTTCTGAACGCGATTTCTGACCCTGGGGGAGGGGGGGGGGAGGGGGGGGGGAGGGCGATGGCAGAATTCGGCGGCGAGCGCGGAGGGGCAGTGAGAGGGAGAGGGAGAAGGCCTTTGCCGAAGGCGGCGGGACTTCCCGCGCGCCCTCTGAGAGGCTTTTGTTCTGCCCTCGGGGAAGGCTTGGACGACTTCAGGCCGGGGGGCTTCCGAGCCCTCCGAGAAGGCCCGCCCCTCCCCTTGGTGGTCCCCAAACGTGGTGGTGAGAACACCCGGTGGTGAGTTTTGGGCGATTTGGGTAATGGTTTTCGAGCGCTGGCTGGCCCAGGAAACGCAAAACCTCGTGGCGACCGCGCGTCCCCAAACCCGGTGGTGACCCAGAATTGTTTTTTGGGGGACTCGGGGTCACCACCGGGTGCCTCGCCACCTGGTTTGGAGACCACCAATCCCCGCCTGCCCCCCCCGTGCTCGCCGCCGACAGACGCCCTTCACGCCTCTGCGCCCGCGGTCTTCGCCCCGCGGGGGCCCGCGGACTCGGCAGGCCGCCTTCGGGCTGCTGCCTTCGGCGCCCGCGGGGGGCCCGCCGGGGGCCCGCAAAACGAAGGATTGCAAAAAACCCTTGAACGAAGGATTGCAAAAAAAAACACCCTTCGGGGGACTGCAGAAAAACCCTCGGGTTTTTTTGCAATCCTTGGTTTTTTTTTTTTTTTTTTTTTTTTTTTTTGTTTTTGTGTTTTTTTTGCAGTCCTTCGGTTTTTTGCAGGTCTTCGGCCCGCGCGGGCCCGCGGCCTTCGGAGCGCCCGCCTTCGGCAGGGCGCCCTCGGAGCGCCCGCGTCTGCGGGCCCTGCGCCCCCGCCCCGGCCCGCGGGGGCCCGCCTCTCTCTCTCTCCCGCGCAGGCGCGCGCCCGCGGCAGGCCCGCGCCGCGTCGGCGCGGCGGCGATCCCGTGGCCGGCGCTCCCGTCTGAGCGCCGCCGGTGGCCCAGAGCCACGCGGGGTCATCAGGAGCGAAAGAAGGACGCACATGTACACGAATCCACGCTGGTTTCGAGAGCACGCATTGCACAAGTGTTCGTATCACGCGGCCGGTCTCGCAGATCGAGGGGCCGTGTTCGTGTACATAGCTGGGCGCGTACGTCCTTTGTGGGCTCCCTACGTCTGAGCGCCGCCGGTGGCCCAGAGCCACGCGGGGTCCGGAGCCAAACGGTTTCAAAGAGATCTCTGCTGCAAGCCAGAAGTGCGAAATTGGGGTGTCATTTCGGCAGGAAGGGTATGAGCGGCAAAGAGGGGGGTGACGACCAGGGGGGGGGGTGGATGTCATGGCGGGCGCCAGGATATTTCCTCAGACTTCATGGCGCCTCTGCTTATTCCATTACGTCCCTGGCCCCGCCGCTGGGCCGCGCACGTGCTGCCGGTCATGGTTTGCACCCCCCCCTCTTGGACACCCCCCTCTTTGCCGCTCCCGAACTGCGGGGCCGAGGCTTGCCCAGTGTGCATGGAGAACCTACTCCCTCTGGCATCGGCGCAGGGGAGGGAAAACGTATGCTGTTCGTGTCGACGGGGCGGGGTTTCAGCGCGGTCTTTCGAGGTTGGACGCCGCCAGTTGCACGGAATCGGCCGACATCGAAGGAGCTTCGGCGTACATCGGGGGGGGTGAGGAGCAGGAGAAGGACCCTGGTCCCCAGGCAGCTGTCGCCTCGAACAAAACCGAGGCTGCCACTGGCAGCCTCGGTTTTGTTTTGTCCTCTGGGAGGCCGGTTTTTGGGCCTGGAGGCGGCCAAAGAACAGGTCGGAATGACAGATCTGGCCCTTGGGAAGGATCGAGCGGTGCGGGGTCTACACAGCGAAGAATTCGAAGCGCCGGATGTCTGGGTCGTTCTCCGCCTCCCCCCTTTCTCGAAGAAGGGAAACTGCGTAAGCAAAATTTTTCAACGCTCCGCGCGGATTCAGTGGATCGGCGCCCGGGCCCCCCGCTCCGCGCGCCAGGGAAGAGGGTCTGGTGCAGATCCAAGTATCCGCGCGGACCTCCGAAAGTTCATGCTTATGTAACTTTGGTTCCTCTACTCTCCTAATCGTAGTGGCCAGGCGCACTGCGAGAGCGGCCAGTATAGTGTAGCTGTTTGTGTGCCCTTCTACCACCACCTATCGAGGACAAGCTGGAGGGGGTGTCAGACAGTCTTCGAAAGCTCCTCTGCGAGGAGACTGTCAGGGTTAGGTGCTCAAGCCCATCCGAGGAGTAGCAGGAGGAGGAAGAGGATGAGGATGAGGATGAGGATGATGATGATGATGCTGAGGAGGAGGAGAAGCCCAAGGTCGTGCCTTGATGGCCGTGGACGTCGGAGATTTCGACGCTGCTCGGTGCTGGGCGTTACGGTCCCACGTAGGTCCCGTCGCCTGCGAGCAGATGAACCTGGCCTGCCCCCAGAAAGAAGACGACGAATCATACTTAACATGATATTGAGAAATATTAATCATATTATGAGTAGTACCAATTTTACGAATAGTACGAAGAGTAACACACTTTGTACTATTACGATTAGCAGTACGAATGCTAACACGAGTAACGACTACTACTACTACTACTACTACTACTACTACTACTACTACTACTACTACTACTACTACTACTACTACTACTACTACTACTACTACTACTACTACTACTACTACTACTACTACTACTACTACTACTACTACTACTACTACTACTACTACTACTACTACTACTACTACTACTACTACTACTACTACTACTACTACTACTACTACTACTACTACTACTACTACTACTACTACTACTACTACTACTACTACTACTACTACTACTACTACTACTACTACTACTACTACTACTACTACTACTACTACTACTACTACTACTACTACTACTACTACTACTACTACGACTACTACTACTACGACTACTACTACTACTACTACTACTACTACTACTACTACTACTACTACTACTACTACTACTACTACTACTACTACTACTACTACTACTACTACTACTACTACTACTACTACGACTACTACTACTACGACTACTACTACTACTACTACTACTGCTACTACTACTACTACTACTACTACTGCTGCTGCTACTACTACTACTACTACTACTACTACTACTACTACTACTACTACTACTACTACTACTAACAACATTAAGCATGCTAGTACTGACGCTATCACTCATACCACTATTAACCAATCTGCGACTAATGGTACTATTCACAGTTCGAATCATAGTATCACTCATCATAACACTGTTGATGCTGATATTACTTATTCCCGTAGTAATATTGATTTTACTAATGATAAAGATATCAGCCCTACTACTGGCAGGCACACACATCAGAGTAATAGTAAGAATAATACTGCTAATAAGGAATGACCGAAAGCGCTGTTCGGCCCAACGCCCGGCGGCGAGCCCGGGCGGGAAGTGAGAGGGGCCAGGCCTCCTCGGAAGGCGGCGGGGCTTCTCAGAAGTCCGCCGGCCTCCCGGGAGGCCGCCCGTGTCCTCGGAGAGAGCTCCGGGGAAGGCCCCAAGCCTTCGCAGCCTCCGAGGAGGCCCACCTACGCTCCGACTCGGGCCCGGGCCCGTCGGGCCCACGGCCCGCCCCCCAGAAGAGCCCTTCGAGCATGCCGCCCGAGGCTCGCCGCCGAAGCCTGCGAGCGAGCTCGAGAGCCACCCTGGCTTTGAGGGGCGGACCTCGGCCACGCTCGGCCACGCTCGGGTACTCTCGGGCACGGGCCTCGGGCACGGGCCTCGGGCACGCGCTCGCCCACCTGCTGTGCCCCGAGCAGGAGGAGGAGGAGGAGGAGGAGGAGGAGGAGGAGGAGGAGGAGGAGGGGAGGAGGAGCAGGAGGAGGAGGAGGAGGAGGAGGAGGAGGAGGAGGAGGAGGAGGAGGAGGAGGAGGAGGAGGAGGGCTGCGAGGCTGCGCGACGTCGGAGCGGCTGAGGATGCCTGGGGCTGCGCTGGCTCCGCGGTGTGCTCCCGTGGGTGAGTGGCGGCCTGCACGGTAAGCCCCTGCGGGAGCTGGTGCCGATGTGCTGTGGCCGCCATTGGAGCCAGCAGCTGTACACGCCAGAGTAGGTACTTTTGGATGCCGAGGCCCCAATCTACTTTATGCGCCCTCCTACTTCAAGGGTCGAGCGGTTTTCCCCCTTCCCTTCTCTTCAGGGGGCGGGCGGAAGCCAAACCTACTTCCGCCGCCTTCCTACAGTGGGGGCGCGCATCAAGAAACCAAATGCTTGTCGCCAGGGTATCCTGGGTTTCTTCGATCCGCGCGCCGCGGTGACTTCACGCGGCCGTTGAGAAGCTGTTGCGTTCAGGGTGCCCCGGGCTTCCCCCCAGTCGCACCTCCCGCGCGGGTCTTCAGGGTTGGGTTTCCCTGCGGCCGCGTCCGCACTGTACTTCATGCTTTTGCCCACTTATGCCGACCGACGGGTATGCCTGGGAGCGATGGCCTGTGGCCTCTCGGGGTCGTGAGCTAGACTGCGACGGAAGGTTCTTCGCCACCCTCGGCCTCGGGGTGGGCCTTGCCCTTCCTCGGGACTGCCAGTCGGCGGCGACTGACTCGGGGGCTCGCAGAGGGAGGGTTAGCCCAAGGTGAGGCTGGGGAGCGGTCCCAGCCGGATGCTCCCGTACAACGCGTTTCTTTCTTCCAGGGGCCGTTTGGAGCGCTTTTCTCTCCAACCCCACCTCTGCCCCAATCCCACCTTTGTGCCCCTCCCGACTGAGGGGCTGAGGGGGTGACGTGAGAAGGAGAAGGCCTTCTCGGAAGGCGGCGGGACTTCTCAGAAGGCCTCGCGCCTTCTGAGAGGTTCTCTGCGTCTTCGGAGCAGGCCAGGAAATTCAAGGTTTGCCCGTCGGCCCGGACACCCTGTTCGCCGCCTGCGCTCTTCGCTCGCGGCCGCGACCAAAAAAATATCCCCACCAGCCCATCCAGAAACGATGTCCAGGGGAGTTGAGGTGATCAGGGAAGTGCGGCAGCAAAGAGGAGGACGGCCGAACCGTGCAAAGGAGTGAGGAGGAGAAGGAGGAGGTGGATGGATGGATGGATGAGGGAGTGTGAAGAAGGAGGATGAATAGGATGAGGAGGAGGCGGAGGAGGAGGAGGAGGAGGAGGAGGAGGAAGAGAAGGAGTAGGAGCAGGAAGGAGGAACAGGAGGAGCAGGAGGAGGGCAAGCACAAGGGCCAGAGGTCTCTTGGATGCCTCTCGGAGCCTCTTGGGGTATCTCTTGGGCGATTCTTGGTGGCCTCTTGGGATGTCTTGGGGGTCTCTTGGCGATCCTGGGGGGCTCTTCGGGGTCTTGGGTGCCTCGGGGGGGCCTCTTGGGGCCGCTTAGGGTCTTCTTGGGGGCCTCTTGGGGGCCTCTTGGGGGCCTCTTGGGGCCATCTTGGGGCCATCTTGGGACCTCTTTGGGCCTCCTGGGCGCTGCTTGGGGCCATCTTGGAGGAGATCGGTCAACGAAGCGGGGTTCCTTAATTACGCCCCCCCCCCCCCCCGTGAGGCCAAAATGGGGCCAACACCTTAGTAAAATCAATGATTGTGGCTTCCTGGCCGAGGCCGTTTTGGACGCTCTAACTATCCGCGGCCCACCCCGTCCAGGTCCACGGGGAGGGGGTAGGGGGAGGGGTCAAGTTACCCCCTCCCCGCCCGCAAGCCGTCTCGCTCACTCCCAACCGCCCTCCCAACACATACGTAGCACCCGAGTCTGGCCCGAGCCTCAGCATATTCAGCAGTCGTCTTGGGATGGGCAGCTACTGGGGGTCAATCCGCCGCCGCCGCCGCCGCCGCCGCCGCCGCCCCCCGCTGCCAAACCGCCGCCGCCGCAGCCGCTGCCGCCACCGCTACCGCCGCCGCCGCGCCGCCGCCGCCGCCGCCGCCCCCCGCTGCCAAACCGCCGCCACAGCCGCTGCCGCTGCCGCTGCCGCCACCGCCGCCGCCGCCGCCGCCGCTGCCGCCGCAGCCGCCGCAGCCGCCGCCACCGCCGCCGCAGCCGCCGCCGCCGTCGCCGCCGCCAAGTGTACTATGTATTGTTTTTTGACAGGGATGTTGGGGGGGGCCGCATCGGGTTGGCTGCGCAGGTTCCGAATTTGGAGGCAGAGTGTGTTTTGTATTGTTTTTTGCAAGGGATGGTGCGGGGGGGGGTCGGCATGGACCCTGGTTCGCCCCCAGTCGCCTGGGGGAGGGGGTGTTTATTACTAGCGAACAGTGGTAAACCCCTCCCCGAAGGGGAAGAGGGAGGGGTGGAAGCGGAAACGCCCTAAACCACCGACGCCCAGAGGGCTGGTGGGACTTCTGAGAAGGCTGGGGGACTTCCGAGCCTTCTGAGAAGGCCTCCTCCTTGTTTCCCCCCCTCGCTCGCCGCCGAGCCAGACAACGACTCAGGATGAGACTCCAGTCCCTGGGAATGGTCGAGACCTCTGGAGGTCGACGTCGCAGGTCTCGGGGGGTGCCCCTGGCGGAGGTGTTGTCCAGTGCTTCCTTCTCTGTGCCCGCGGCCCGTGCTGCGGGGTGGCTCGCCGCTTCCAGCAGTAGGACCACCGCCGGCTCTCATTAGCTTCAAATCGGGCATGACTCTACAGGAGGAGTATTCAAAAATAGTCAAAAAAGTCAGGGGACGAACATTCTTTCATTTTCTGCATGTTTTTGGGCATCTGTTGTGGCTAGCTCTCATTCTTCTGCCACAGTCCGCCTGTAGGGGGACACGCCCGACCTAACATTGCCTTGGTTTGGCGCTCGCTCTTCTCCTCGCTCCCGACGCCCGTAGAGACGCCAGGGCCATCGACGACGCAGCGGATGCCATCCTGAACTTCATAGTCCGAGATCTGCAGATCGACATCGCGCAG